TGCTGCTCCTCCCGTCGCCGATTCTGCTCTCTCAAGCGTGCTTCCCTTTCTCTATCCTGCTGCCCCTTATCCTGCTGCTGCTGCTGCCGCCGCTGCTGCTGCTGCTCCAGCCCCCTCGCCTCCTTCTGGAGAACCCGCAGCTCCTCCTGCCGGTGCTGCTGCCGCTCCTGCTGCTGCAGCACCACCTGCTTCCGGGCGGCCCTTCTCGCCTTCTTCTCCGCCACCGACATCTTAGCGGGGTCATCGACCATCCTCAGCGGACGCACCACCGGTTGCAACACCGCCTCCATCGCCGCCTCACCCGACCCTCGTGCCCGTTGGAGTTGCTGCTGCTGCAGCAGCTGCTGCTGGCGCGGCGGCACCGAGGGCGACGCGCCCGCCAGGAGGCTGGCGGTGGAGGATATCGGGCACACTCTGAGGTTGATCGAGTCAAAGTTGGGCATCAGGCCCTGGGCCTGCCTGAGGTTGAGGATGTCCATGAGCCCGGGGCTCCTCGTCCTCTGCGACGCGTTGGGGCACGATGGGGGCCGAAAAGGAACCAGCGAGAGAAAACATGAGACGGCGAGTGATAAGAAGGCAAGACGGGAGGGGTTCGAGCCAGAGTGAGAGGAGGCCCACGAGAGAAAGAGACAAACATGACAACAACAACAACAACAACAACAACGCCTGGACTAGAGCAGGGAGACCTACGAGAAAATACGACAACAACAACGCCTGGATTAGAGCGGACCGCCTCAGAAAATAACTACTGGGCGTGCTGCTGTGTGCCTGTAGAGGTGTAGATGGGGGCCAAGCGGACGGGAGGAACGCGCGCACTCGTCAAGGTCTCAACGAGTCGTTCGTTGGGCTCTTCACAAGAAGAACACTATTCTTGAGACTTCCCGGCACCTGTGAAACCGTCAATTGGGTACTTTTTCACACCGACGTCGAGACAGACCAAGGAAAAAGTGCCCCCCCCCCCCCGTGGAAGTAAGTACAAGGAGCCGAACACGCTTAGCAGGATCCAGCACACCCTCCATGCAACTCGCCGAATACGTCACGGCGCTTCGCGCTTGGTGATGTGAGAGCCTGGTCCGGTGAGAACCCGGCGTGCTCCCTGCTTCGTAGGGATGCGAGGTCGATGGCCTAACGACTACGGCAAGCACGACTTTGAGTACACCCGCGCCCCTCCCCTCCCCTCCCCGGCAAGACTCTCACCTGGCCTCCGCAGAGGGCCATCGCCGCCCCACCGGCCGCCACCTCGTCTGCCTCAAGCATAACCGCCAGGTACCGCTTGTTGTGGATCTGATACGCGTCCGCGGCAACAACAAAAAAGGGACAAGCGGACGAACTTGAGAGTGCGCATGACGACAAGAGTCGTGTGGAGTCGGCAACGCGATCTTCTCAAGACGGTAAAGATGCACTTGACGGTGGACTTGGAGAGCACTATCCCAAGTGTGTGTGTGTGTGTTTCGAATTAGCATCGACCGCGCTCGCCAGCTGACAAACAACTCTGTGCTCGAGTTTTTTGTATTAAATGGCATCGAACGCGCTACTACACAACCGGCTGACAATGAAAGACGTCATGAGCATGCATCGCCCTGCCGGCTCTTGCGGCGCAGACTATTTACTACTACTGCGCTTGGCGAGGAAAAGCAAATGTGTGATTGTCCCATCGAACGAAGAACGACAAACTGACCTGAACGGACCCGTAGCAGCCACCCTCGAACGCCATCTGCACGGTCCCGCCCTGAACGACGGAACCGTTCGCCACCAGGTCGGTCCGTCGCCTCTTGCTACCGCTACCGCCGCCGACAACGACCGTGCGGTCGTCGTCGGCGGCCGTGCCTTGCTCACCGGACCCGACACCCGGCCACCCCCCCCGTGCGTCCGAGGCCAACGCGCCTCCAGTCCCCTTCCTCCCACCGGCGGCCCCTGCGGCCCGCGCCCTGCTCTCTTTCCCCTTGCCCCTGCCGCCGCTCGCCCTCGGCACGGTGGCGGCGGAGGCGCTAGGGGCGACGACAGGCGCAGCACCGGGCCGGACTCTGAGTTGGAGGCCCGTTGGTGTTCCTCTTGCCGGGAGGCGTGCGCCACGTCCGTTCGCCTCCGTCGCCCCGTTGGCGGCGCCGCTGTAGCCCGTCCTCACCCCCGATGTCGCCGCCGCCGTCGCCGCAGCCGCAGCCGCAGCCGCAGCCGCCGCTGCATGTGCTGCCGCTCGTGTCGGGCCCGCTTCTACCCCGCTGCCGCCGCCACCCTGGTATCCGGCGGACAGCGCCGCCGGCCGAGGGGCGGAGAACGGGGCGGGCTGCGGCCGCAGGAGCGCGTACGGCACCGACATGAAGGCCGGAGGCTCAGCGCCGCCGCCCCGGCGCAGAGAAGAAGACACGGCGGCGGGGGCGGGGGCGGCGGCACCGCCGCCGTGTGCGGCGATGGATCTCGCCGAGGAAGACGCCTTGGCCGCTGCTTCTGCCGCGGCCGCCGCCGCCGCTGTGTTTGTTTGTTGCGTTTGGTAAAATACAGTAGAGAATTATTGGGTTGAGTCGGGGTACGCCGGGGGTTGGTATTGGTTGCGCTCGTCAAAAATACGATTTGTTTGGATTCCATGCTGTTTGTGCTTTTCGTGGATCGAGAGAGGCTTGACAGCGCCCCCCGTCTAGGCTTTTTTTGGCTGTCGTGGAGATGACTTGTCATAGATACGATCGATTTGATAAGGTGGGTGGACACCCTGGCAACGGAACGAACTCAGTCCGGCGGGCGGTCAAAAAGTGGTGAAATAAAAAAATAAAACTTCCACAGCACTAGCCTTGCCCCAAACTGGCGGCAGGTTCATGCAAGCCCCACGGCTGCTACTGAGACAGGATACGCCGCCCGTTGAGATTCCAAATCCATCCGTGGATGGATGGGCGCGGGCCCGTGGGACAACCAGTAGTGGGCAAAGGGGGGGGGGAGGGGGGGCGGGCGAGATCAATATAACATGATACGAAAATTTGAATCGCAGCGAGACTATAGACTATAGAGCCCGCGCGTGTGGGTCTCCAAACAGTGTCATGAGAGGTGTGCATGTACGCAACAAAGTCTTGAAGAAAATACTACAGTACCGTCCGCGGTAGATCAAAAGCAGCCGGGGTGCCTCTGCCCGTGAGCCATGACTGTCACGCCTGTCTGTGCCGGCGCTTCCACACCGAGCACGCAGCTGTGGTATTTACCGCGCAACTACAGCAGCGTACATCGCACTGCAAGCCATGTCCTCCGTCTTCTTTCAGCACGGATAGTCTAAAAGGCAAACATTCAAGATCGGCTTGCCCCGCGTCCGAGAAGCTTCCACGCAACCTACCGCCAACTTCTTCGCCGGTAGCATGGGAGGAGGGCAGAGCAACCACCATGGTCAAGTGTGCGAGAGCACGCACGCCAGAGTGGCAGCAAATTCAAAGAACAGAGTCCGTTCCAGTCTTCTTGATTGGAAATGTGTGTCCGACGACGACAGCACCAAAAAGCGTTATACCTAGGGAAGCAGCCCTGGACGGGGGAGGGCCACCCTGCCCAGAAGCCGCGAACTTCGACACCACAGGAAGAGCTGGCGGGGGATCGGTAACGGCGAGAGCATCGAGAGAGGCGGGGAAGGCCCTGTATCCGCCGTGGTACGGCGAGAGAGACCGGGCCTGGTTGTTGTTGCTGTCAGGATTCAAAGATGCCGCTCCACCGCCTCCTCCTCCTCCGCGGGACCTGTCAGCAGCAGATTGAGCCGCAGCTCCTCCTTTCCTCGCCGCGGCTACTTTCCTCGCCGCATCCATGGGAACCGCCAATCGAGGACGCCGTGAAGTAGTGACCACGGTCAAGAACCCTCCCTCTCTACCTTTTACTATCAACAATGGCAGCACACTTTGCTCCTCCTCCTCTCGCAGCAGCTACGTAGAGGGGGTTCGCGAGTGTTACAAGGACGGGGTACCCTGGGGTTGCGGTATTCTGCTGAATTTCGCCGCATCTGCATCTCTGATTCATCCACAGGCTAATCAAAGAGACACACGCCTACTCTCCGGGGAACGTGCTGCCACACAGCGGCTGGTGTTGTGTGGGATGGCGTGTAGCACCTACTGCAGCCATGGATGGCCTCGATCATGCATGGGATTTGCCTCGGCAGGCATCACCGCCGTCTTCTTGCTGCGAGGCGCGGCCGGCTTCGCGGGACATGCCAGCACTGGACGCTCCGCAACGGGCCGCACCACCTCCGCTGCTGCGCCGTTCAGCAACCAGCAGCACGGCTGGCAAGGTTCCCGGCTAGCAAGGAGGTCTGGGTTCCGCAGCAATACCAAGAGGCGCAGGTGTGCTCGGGCTGGCCGGCTGCTTCGTTGTTCCGGCGGTCTGCCTGCTGCTGCTGCTGCTGCTGTGAAAGACGACGGATCAGCAGGATCTGACGAGGTACACGCAGGCAGATGATGTGTCACGCGTCACGCACACACATCGGTTGGTCGGGTGTCTTTGGGAAGACGCAATCCAGCGATAGCTAACCACCGACGCAACCGGAGAGGACAACTCGCTGCGAGCAAAGCGATTCACCGTTAACTCTGTCCAAGCAATGACGTTTTGTTTGTTGTTAAAAGCAAGGGCTACACTTTTATCGCCTTCAACTCTGGTGAAAATCGAATATGTATCGCCCATCAAACCAGCGTTTCAAACGGAAGCTCACGCGAGCAGGCCATCTGTTCAAGCCACGCGCCGGCGGTCAGTGGTGGCGTGCTATAACGCAGTAACGCTCCACCTCCGCCCTCCGCAAGGAAACCCAAAACCGCACTGCACATGGTCCTTCGCTGTTTCGAGTTGGGCCCCCATTTACCTGGCTAGGTGTAGACTTCGGTAGTGCTGCTGTATGCATTTGAACATCGAACAAGTTACGGAGTATAACTCCCCCCCCCCGCCCCCGCCCCCCCTCGCCTAGGTACAGTAGACTCACGAGGACGTTCGGCAGACTATGCATACAACCAAGGTGTTTTTTTTTGTTCTTTTGGGAACACCGCCCTTTCCAGAAGCGGCAAGCAACATGCGGCCACGCAGGAATCAATATCTTCTGCGGTGTAAGATAGGATTGAACACAAGACCCAAATTATAGCCCAGAAGGTATGATGCTCCCCCATGTTATCCGCTTAGCTTTCCTCCGTGCTGGTAGCAGTTGGATGCGGCCCGTGTTTTCTAGGCTAGTATTCCCTTCCCCCATGCCTCCCCACACCGAGAAGCCCCTTACAGCCTGTGGACTTCAAGCTGTACGTAAATCTTCCGGTTCTGTTCCAATGATTGCCTCTCACACGCTGCCCCCCCCCCCTGCCCCTCGGTATCCAGGCCGGAGTTGTGGCCGCCATCGCGTTGGACGACGTCGTGAGCGGTGGGGAGCCGGTTACCTCGGCGGTGGCAGCAGCAGCAGCAGCAGCAGGGGCGGGAGTTAGCGCCGATGTGGGGTCTGAAGCTGCTGGCAGCATCAACCAACAGCTGCTGCTGCGGGACCGGGATGTTATTCTTGCAGACAAGGGAAGCGCCAGCACGGCGGACGCGACGGGGGAAGGCAGCGACAGCAGCAGCAGAAATCCAGGGTCCCTGTTCGTCATCATGGGACTCTGCTTTCTGGTGGCGGTCGTGTGCGCCCTGGACAGGGTCGCCATGTCGGTGGCGATCGTGCCCATGGGAAACGTCTACGACTACTCGGAAACGACCAAGGGACTGGTGAGTTGTCTAGAAGCCGAAATCAAGTCTTTCGACTATTTAGTCAACGACGACTATTATAATCAAATGATTTGATATCGGCTTCTATAGATGTTGGTCGTGAGGTACGAATGCCCCGACTCACTTCGGAGGAGGGTGACTCCCCTCGCCCCCACGACTAACTTTTCTAGAAGCCGATTTCAAACAATTAGACTTGTCAGCGCTGACTTGTCTCATGGTTTGATTTCGGCTTGTAACGTAGCGGCTGTTTCCGGGAGAGAAGGGCCGCCTTCACCAGCGGAGGCGGATTCCAACGGGTGTTCCAGATTCCAACGGGTAGTTCCGAATGCCCACGGGTAGTTCCGATTTCCCATGGGTACTTCCGCCCTATTGGTCTGTACACTAATGGTGTACAGCTGCCTCATGCCTAACGCCGCCGTACGAGAGGTTTGTGTGCGTTAGAGTTGATCACCATGATATCCCCCCCTTCCTGTCCGCTCTTCAGAAAAACGGCGCCTGCGAAATAACGGCGTTGTTTTTCTGGCTTGCAGCGGGCGGGCGGGCTGCTGCCATGGCTTCACGAAGAAGAGGCGTTTGCGCCATTACCCGAGAGAAAAAGGCCCCCGGAAAAGGCGATGAGTCACCTTCAGTTTCGCCGGTGGTCACTGTGCGACCGAACCGAGTCCTTGCCGTGGTTTTCGTGATACATTCGACGCGATGTCTCCGCATGGAAACGAACATTTACAGCTTGGTCCGGTCCACCGCCGCCCCCGCCCACACCCGCCCGCCGCGCGTGCGCCTTGCAGATCAGCAGCGTGTTTTCGTGGGGGTACATGGCGTCTATGGTGCCCTCGAGCGTGCTGATAGGAGTTTGGGGACCCAAGGCAACTATAACCGCCGGTAAGAAGGAGCAGGGCGGTGGGCAACAGCAGCATTCCAGTTTTTGTTCTTTGCCCGCGGTCGCGAAGAAGCGGTGTTCATCCAGCGGTTCAGCAGGGTCCGTGTAGAACCAAGCCCGGGGTATTGGTTGTCACGATGGAAGGCATCAGGGGGGGTAGTTTGGCACCAGAGCGCCGGACCATTGTGGCGCTCCTGGGGCGAAAATGCCTCCTGAGACCAAGCTAGGTCGTGAGAAAATGACAAGATCGAGAGATGGCGACAGCCGGGGCTTGCTAATAGCGGTTGTGGGAGTGATTTTTTTTTTTAAGTTGTCGACGAGAAACTCACGTTGTTTTTGAGAGCAAGCTGTGGCAAAAGCGATATACAGTAGGTGGCCCGATATAGTGGCAACTTGAATAGTGGAACTTCCGATATCGTGGCATCAAAAGCCCTTGTCACAATCTCAACACGTAGATTCATGAACCCGATACATATATCGAAGAGTGGAACTGCCCTGAACAGTGGCATATTCACCACTATATCGGGCCACCTACTGTTTATCTGAAACCGGTAAACCGGTTATGTTGTCCTTGCCACACACCAGGTGTGCTCGTTTGGTCGGCCGCTCAAATGCTGTCCCCCACGGCGGCCGGGGTATCCCTGGAAACCTTGCTCGCGTGCCGTTTCCTCATGGGGGTAGGGGAAGCCGTCACCATGCCTTCGATCCAGGTGAGGAGGCGTTGTCTGTGCTTCACCGTTCGCGCCGTCTCCAACGGCATCTTCCGTTTTTTGCCGTCGTTTCATCTTACATAGCCCGCACCACCCGTTGCTTGCCCTCTGTAAGCTTTCCCCCAACGCTGGTGCTTCTACTGTTCGGTCGTACTACCGTAGCAGTGGGAGAGCACTTCCGGCTTGAAATCGGACAAGCGTTATCGGCCGTTTTTACCGACTCTCGCTTACCCCCATTGTCGTCGCTATGGTCCCCCCGCTTCATCCGCATTGCACCCGGGTTTTCCACGGAAGGCGATCGTGGCCGAGAGGGTTCCGCAAGATCAGAGAAGTCGCTGGCTGGCCCTCATCATAAGCGGGCTACAGGTGCGGCCCTCTTTTTCCTGGCTATTTTTCGTCGCCGTTTTCAGGCACTCTCATGAACTATACCCCTCCCCCCATGTTAACTGCTTAGCTTTCCTCCGTGCTGGTAGCAGTTGGATGCGGCCCGTGTTTCTATTGGGCTGCTTTTCGTCGCCGTTTTCAGGTACTCATTTACTATACCCCGCCCCAATCCTACTGCTTAGCTTTCCTTTTCCTGACACAAAGTGCTGGTAGCGTTTGGTTGTGCGGACGCTTCTGCCGGGACGCGGCAGACGCTTTTGTCCCCCGGTCCCCGCCCAAACCCCCATGTGGACACGCACAACACAACGCTGAGCTGACGCCCCCCCCCCCCCCCCCCCCCCCCCTTTT